GGCATGGGGGGCGAAGCGAGAAGGAGGCGAGCCCTCTTGCTTGCTTTCGCTCCGGGGATTTGGAGCCAAGGGTGGCGGTGCCGGGGCGGTGGCGAGGGCACCCGGGAGGGACGAGTGGGGGGGGGACCCGTGGTCCGTCGCCTCCGCGCTCCGTGGGTGAGCGGGTCTCCTCAGGGACGCCTCAGCCCGACAGGAGGGCGAGGCGGAGGGCAGCGCCCGGCCGCCTCTCCGGCCTCTCCTTCAGCCGTGCTTCTGCCCCCCCGCCTCAACTCGGCCGCCCCCATGTTCCAGCTGCCCCTCCTCAACTTCAGCCCTCAGCAGGTGGCCGGGTTGTGTGAGACCCTGGAGGAGAGCGGCGACGTGGAGCGCCTGGGGTGCTTCCTGTGGTCGCTGCCGGTGGCGCCGGAGGCCGGCGAGGCGGTCCACCACAACGAGTCGGTGCTGCGCGCCCGCACCGTTGTGGCTTTCCACGGCGGCCACTACCGCGAGCGCTACCACATCCTGGAGAGCCACAAGTTCCCCAAGGAGTCGCACGCCAAGCTCCAGGCCCTGTGGCCCTGTCCCCATCAAAGGGCCGGTTGTATCTGTAAGGCTGGCGGCGGCTCCGCGGGCCATCAGACGAGGTCTGGCGGGCCAGATTTNTCTACGCCAATCAAGCAAAGACTTATAACCAGTAACTGCAGCTTCCCATGTTATTTTGACACTGTACGCGAAGCTGGAGAACTTGGTATGTCAATGTTTATGCAAATCCCATTGATTTCATGGGCCCTCTTTTAGAACGAAAAATCCAATTTTGGCCTTAACATCCTGATTCATTCCATTGTGCTCCATTGAAGTGAATTCCAAGGGAATCCTTCCTCCTTGTCTTTTAATTCACCTCTACAGCTGGGCACCCGGCTGGGTCCACCTTTCCTCTGATGGGGCCATTCCTTAAAGCATCTCTTTCCTGAGCTGGCAGAGTCCTTGATTTCTCCACCAATTTGGGTTTGCACAACCCTGGGGACTCCATCATCCCTTCCGGCTCAGATTCATTTACATCCAGCTGAACCAGTTACACTGCAGACTTACCGGGCGATGACCCCCGACATGTCTTTCCTATTTCTAACTTTGTCCTGAATATACCTCTTCTGCAAAAACTGAAAAGAAAATGTCCCTCTGGTTCCAAACAAAACTGTTTGGGTCCAAATCAGTTTACAGAATTATTATATATTTGCATCATGTCTTTTACATACAAGGATGTCTTGGTTCATAAAGAAGCTTTATCAGCAGGGGGTAAATGTGCAGTTCTTAGGGGGTGTGCTTAATGTGCTTTAAAAATGGGGCTTTAGAAATCCTGGTGGTGAATGTAGCCCCAAGGGGATGAGGCAACAGCCACCGACATTAAAGATACCTCATTAGAAAGAAAACCACTTAATGTAATTCTCAGTGTGTGGGAAATGCAGCTGTTTGTGTAAACAAGGTGCCAACAAAATGCCTAATGTTTTTTCCCCTTCCAATCTGACATTACAAAGTCTTGTGGCCAATTAGAAATTGTCGAGAGCTCTCCGTTGGCTTTCCCCAACCCAACGCCTGTCAATTGTGATGGAGTGCAGTTCCCATCCGCCCGCTAGCCAACATGCACTGATTGGAGATAATGGCTGTGGTGTCCCTGGCAAGCCGGAGGTTGTCAGCCCTGATCTAGATCAAAGCAGGGAAGTGATGGATGAGTATCATGGCATAAACCAGGGGGAGCCAGGATGGGAGAAGCTGGTTGAGATGCAAAAGGGGAAGAGAGGTAGCCCTGAGAATCAGAGAACTATATTCATAAGAAAAAGAGCGTCCTGCAGCGTGGAGCCGCCTACAAAGTGGCTTTCATCACTTTGATTCTATCACGGGATTGTAGTGATCACCCTGCGTTTGCTCATGTGTGAGGATTTGCATGCATCAAGGGTAGCTGTTGGGAGGCGGAGGCAGAGAAACTAGAAGGGAGGGGTGAGGCAGAGAAGAGCGGTTGGTCAGTTAGAGTGAGATGGTGAGAGAGTCTGACATGAGAAGTCAGTTAGAGAGTCAAGAGAGGGGAGTGAGTCTGTGAAGAGTTAAAGGAGGCAGTTGAGAGTGTGGAACTTGTAGAGTGTTAAGTGTGAAACAAGTTGAGTTAAGTGTGAATAGTTTAAGGCCTTTGAGGAACTTGTTTGCACGAACAATAAGCCTGTTAACCAATAAACCTGTTTTGTTAAACTCTACACGCAGTATGGACCGCTATCTTTCTAAATCAATATTGTTGACAGAGATCAACGGTGGCAACATAAAAGGCAAGGACGTGGTGTTGGCCTTGGTTGTTAGTGAAATAATCTGGGGACACACAGAGGCACGTTACAGGGATGGAGCCCAGTTCTGCCCCACTTCCACCCCCAATGGAAGCTGGACCACAATCCGGAGTAAAAAGTGAAGATAGAACAATGTAAACTGGATTCTACCATCACGATCGGTGTGTTTTCAGCATGCTACACAAAGGCTCACTTGGGATTGTGCAGTCCACTCTGACATGTAAACTAGTAAAAATTTTGGAGAAGTCTGTGGCCCTGAATTTATCCTTCTAAAGGAAGGTGGATAATGGGTTGAGAGAGATGATGATTACAGTAATTCGGATTTATGGTTAAGAATGAAAAAACATTCATTCTATGAATGAAGGGCAAAGGCTGGATCTTTTCCGGAGTCTCCTGCTTCATTGCTGCTACGTCGTTTGCAACAAGATGACTCAGAAGTCATGATGCTGGTGCTCCACTCTCAGCATTTCTCCAAATGACAGAAGAGTTCCCGGTGCATGTACTGCACTCTTTCCCCAGCCCCCTCTCTGTCTTGGCTTTCTGGTGCATCAGCATTGTGCAAGTGCAACACACACACAGAGAGTGAGTGAGTGAGTGAGAGAGAGAGAGAATGGTGAGGCCCTGGCGGGTGGCACTAGAACACAGTTCAGTGTCCACACATTAAAGCCACGCCACATGCCTCACCTTACCTCATTGGGATATACAGCGTGGCATAGTGGACAGAAGGATGGACTCAGGAGGTCTGGGTTTGAATCCCTGCTCAACCATGGAAACTCACAGAAGGGAGCAGAACTTGTTGAATAATTCCTCAAATGTCACAGGTACCTTGAAAGCCCAAGTAGGGCATATATAAGTTGGTTCTGACTTGACATCACAGAACACACAGAGAAAAGTCCAACTAGGTCTTCTTCCGGTGTTGCTTATGCTGAGATTTTTCTCCTCATCTGGAGAGCTGGAGAAGCATAGCAATTGCCCCAGACATCAACCACTGGCCCGAGACTTGGCAAGTCTACATTTCAGAGGTCTTCAAGCAGATACTATCAGTTGTGGTAAGCCTAGTGCTTAATTTCCTTTAGTCTACAACAGCAGAGGGAAGGGTTGTCCCCATGGATTGTATGCAGGTCACCTGGATGGCCAGAGGAGCCGTCAGGTCCCACCAGCCTCTGACTCCCAGAAAAATATTTTTTCCAGTTCTTCAAATTCTAAATTTTGCCCTCAAGACACAATTTTGCCCCTTCTTTAAGGTCTGTTTTTAGGCCCTAAAAGTCCTTTTCTAGAAACTACCCAGTTTAGGAATTAGGAGTGTCAGAGGGAAGGTGGTGCTCTAAGGTCCAGTTCTCTCATCAACTGGCACATACTGTCTCAGTTACTCACTCTGAGACATTGGTAAGAGAAAGAATAAAACATCCCATTTACTCACAGTTCGGAACAGATCTGAAGCAGCATGTTGTAGAAAAAAGTCTGGTTCCATGAAAAGGCCTTCACTGACTCATAACTATATGATTAACAGCATAACACTAACTTACAGTGAACAGAAATGAGGTGGAAGGAGAAGCACTCTTAAGGAGAAAGATGTGGCTCTCTTCAAAATCAGAATGAGAGAGGGTTCTGCTGAACTGATTAACATTCACCCCAGCCCAGAACGCTCCCTCCCAGGCAAACCTCATAAACATACAGCAATCTATGAGGCTGAAAACAATTCCAACAGTAACCTGGTCAGGAATATATGACCCTATCAAGCCAAAGATTATCTATACGTACTTTGCAATGCTGGCCATTTTTCTGGGGCTTCTTGAGATTCATACTCAAAGACAACCACTCAGCAGCCAGTTGAAGGACGCTGTGGTAATAAGACAGCAGGAGCCCGGGCATAGCTGAGTAAATGTTCCACGTGGCCAGCAACTGGGCAGAGGCAAAGAGAGCTACTGATCGTGAAACAAGATCCAATACAGCTTTCATATCAGAAAGTCTTGCAAAGTACCTCGACACGGCTGAGTCACAGGGATTCTTTGTCAGGGCTCACTGTGACTGGACAAATTCCCAGAGAATTTTCTACATCTTCATTTGTCCTTTTTAAAAATCAGCTAAACACGATACACAAATCTCTCAGCATGATTTGTCTGGCTGGTTAGCTCAGTGGCTTAGACATCTACAGAGCCAGAGGTTGGGAGTTTGATTCCCTGTTGTGCCTCCTGCAATTAGAGCCAGCCTGGGTGGCCTTGGGCCAGCTGTGCAGCCCCAGGGTTCAACCCCAGAAGAAGAGAAGGGTAAAACTCTTTTGAGCATCCTCTGCCTGCAAAACCCTGAAAAGAATTGGCATAAATCAGAATTAACTTGAAGGCACATATATTTGTTTTAATTAGCATACTTGATAGCTCAGTGGTTCAGGTGTCTGGCTGCGGATCTAAAGATTGGGAGCTCAATTCCCCCATGGTGCCTCCAGGGAGAAGAACCAGCCTAGGTGGCCTTGGGCAAGCTGCACAGTTCCAGGGCACCCCCAGAAAAAAAAGGAAAGGTAAACAATTTCTAAGTATTGGTGATTGTTGTGGGTTTTTTGGGCACTTTGGGGAAAGGTAAACGATTTCTGAGTAGATGGTTGTTGTGGGTTTTTCGGGCTCTTTGGCCGTGTTCTGAAGGTTGTTCTCCCTAACGTTTCGCCAGTCTTTGTGGCCGGCATCTTCAGAGAACTGGAGTAGGAACTCTGTCCATGCTCTGTTGAACCAACCTGTGCGGCTTCTCAGGTTGCCCTCAGAAGAAGGGAATGGTAAACCGTTTCTGAGTACTACTCTCTACCTAGCAAACCCTGAAAAGGGTCTCCATACATCGGAACTGACTTGATGGCACATTATTATTATTACTACTGCATTCAAAAACACCAGGTACAATCAAAATTATAAAAACATTTGCTGGCATTATATAACAGATACAAGTGTTAACCAAAAACCTAAGTATCTGTTAAATATCAGTGCAATGATGTATGCTGTTCCTACAATTGTCATTTTTTGTAGCTCTGACGGTGTGATTTCTGAGATCCGCAACTGCTTATATTACTGTGTGAAATTTCTTGATGTTGTTCCCAAAGCCCCAATGACGACGGGGACCCCTGAAGTGTATTTCATCCACAGGCGGGATGTTTCGATGGCCAGGTCTCTGTCCTTTGTTCGTTTTTTTCCAATTCTTTATTTTCAACTCTGGCATCCCCTGGAATGGCCACGTCAATGATCCAGACATGTCTTCGTTCTATCACTCCTAGGTCTGGTGTGTTAATGTTCAAGGTATCCGTCCGTTGGTATCCAGAAATCCCGCAAGATCTTGCCTTCCTCATTTTCTGGCACCTTCTCTATCTGATCCTCCCATGGGTTTTTGGAGGCCAGCAAGTTATATTTTTTGCATAATGCCCACGGCACTAACTTTGCCACGCTTGTCATATCTGACTTTGCAATTTGTTTGTGCAGTCTTGGAGGCCAGATTATTTGCATAATGCCCATGGCACTAACTTTGCCACGCTTGTCATGTCTGACTTTGCAATTTGTTTGTGCAGTCTTTGGACATTCACAGATGAGATATGGCACAGTCTTTAGACATTCGCAGATGAGATGTGACACTGATGATGATGATGATGATGATATGGTTATAAAGGTCCCTGCAGAACCAGAGTTTGAGATTCCATGAGTTCTTCCCGACGCCTCCTCCACCTCCACCCACCCCCACTTAGGGATATTCTGCCCAGGCCCCCTCTTGCTACTACACCTCCCATCCTTCGCCATGCCTTGCAGGTCCCTGGGCTGGTTTGGATTTACTCTTCCCCTCCCCCCCCCCAAGCATCCCAACACTTTGTCCCATCTGCCGTGCAATATTGCTGCCGCTGCCAGCTTTCTTTGGTCACCCTTTGTCAACGCGTGTGCATTTCTGTTCAAAAAAGAAAATAGGGGGGAAAAGGTGGATACAAAAACTCAGGCTTTTCTCCTTTCCGCCAGCTTTCTTTGGTCACCCTTTGTCCGTGCGTGTGCATTTCAAAAATTGTTCAAAAAAGAAAATAGGGGGGAAAGGGTTGATACAAAAACTCAGGCTTTTCTCCTTTCCTGAACCAAAAATAATAAAATCCACTTGTAGTTCTGGTTATGTTCAGAGCCAGAGGAACAAAAGAGATCGATGAGACCGAGGCATCCAGAGGCTGGACTTCATCTTTTTGGGTGTTGTGGTCCCAAATAGTTTTTTAGGTTCTGGATAGAATCCTGGCCAGAATCCTGGCATGATCTCCAGAGCCTGGAAAGATATTTCACGTCAGAAGGGGGCCTCCCTGCGCAGGCTAGAGTTTTCCTGGGCGACCGGGTGCCATCAGGGAAGAGGCCAACCATGGGACAGAAGAACCCAGAAGAAGAAGGGATGGTGTTTGGCATACCCAGGGCTGCCTCCCTCCTCCTGCCTCCACTATCATCACCTATGGTGGTGGTGCTGGTGGTCAGGTTGCCTCTGACTTACAGCAACCCTATGAATGAGCCATCTCCAGAATGTCCTGTTTTCATTGGCCCTGCTCAGCTCTTGTAAACGCAAGCTTGTTCAACCCTGTGTCTTCAATGGCCCTGCTCTTGTAAACGCAAGCTTGTGGCTTCCTTGAGGGAGGTAGTCCATCTCGTATTTGGTCTTCTTCTTTTCCTGCTACCTTCCACCTTTCCCCAAAGCTGTTGTCTTTTCCAGAGAATCCTGCCTCCTCACGAGGTGCCCAAAGTCGGACAACTTTGGCTTCAACCTTTGTGCCTCCAGAGAGATTTCAGGCTTGATTTCATCTAGGACCCCCCTTGTTCGTCTTTCTGGGCAGTCCAAGATAGCCACAAAGCTCTCCTCCAGCATCCCTTTGGATCACCTAGGAATCCCCAAACATAGGAAGCCCATCTTGGGGGCAAAGTCTTGAGCAGAGACGGGCCTGCCAGGTCTTTACCAATGGGGCACGGCTGGAGATTTTTGGCACTCCTGCTGCGGAGGGAGATCCTTGTTTTGCTTTTGGCTGGAATAAAGGGATCCATTGGGTCCCCTGCAGCTCTGCCACTCTAAGATGATGGCAATGATGAGGTCTCCCTCTTTCGGCCCTCCACGTCTCATCCTCTTAACCCCACTCCCGCTAGATTCCAGAACCCAGAACCCGGCGCTTGGGGAGTTTCCGAGGGAGACGAGGACTACAATTCCCATGATCCCCATTCGATGAAAGCTTTAGGGCAAGTTCAGTCCCGAAATGCGCCTTCCGAAGACCCTGTTCCGGAACAAGCATTTTCCAGCCCAAAGGCATCGCCCTAAGGCACCGTCCGCCTGACGCACTTGCGGGATGGAGGGGGGGGAGGGAGAGCAGGGGAGACACGCAAGCAAGATCGATACACACCAACGAGCTTTTTTTGGCTTGTGGACACGCCAACACGATCGTTGTTGGGTGGTTGGGGTTGGATTCGCCTCTCCCCCCACCCCTCACCCTGCCTCCCCGCAAACACTGGCTTGGCACGCCAGACCCTGCCAGTGGCTGGACACCCGTCCCCGTGAAGACGCATACACAGCAAGCAGGGAGCCCCGGATTGTGTGTGTGTGTGTGTGGGTGTGTGTGTGTGTGTGTTTCTGCGGGGGGGGCGGGTAAACAATCACTGCAAGATCACCGGCTGCTGGAATCTACGGGAAAGGATGATGATGATGATGATGATGATCCTTTCTTTCTTTCTTTCTTTCTACCCGCTATGGCCACGGTCGCGAGCGTGCGCCGCGCTGCGGTAGCTCCGCCGAGGGAGCCTCCGGCGCGCCGGCCCTTTGCTGCCCCCTAGCGTCCCTCGGGCGCTTCGCCGCAGAACTGGAAATCCTTCAATGAATCTATTTTCGGTAG